CAAATTCTCGTTTGATCTCAGTGATATACATTTCTAGTTGCGTATTTAAGCGCATGACACTATGGTACTTCGAGAAAACTAGGGAACCATTCCATAGAGAAATGAATTGTTAGCTGATTGCATTTTGTTGTGTAAAACGACTAGTCTTGCTCATAGCTGTCCGAGAAAGATATGCCTAGGAAAAGGTCTAAATAAATTACGGATGAATTGATAGTTAGAAATATCATAACTGTCACCATAAAAGCAAGATCTGGAGAATAGCACGCAGGAAGTTTGAATGGTTTGCCCCGTTAGAGGAGTTTTCGCTCATGAAGATGAGAAGGAGATGAAAGGGCTTCTTGCTGTGATGTTTATAGTTGAAACTGCTGATTGAAGTATCTAGGATGATTTTACTGGAAGTTAACTCAAACCTAGCAGTGCATTTTTGTTTTGTTGGAGGATGAGCGCATCCATCAGATGAGTATTATATTCTTTTCAAGCTCTTCTACTGATGGAATTGTGTAAACATACAGTTAGCTTGATGTCCTTAACGATAATCCTACGAGAAAGAGCTGGACGAGTCTGTAGACGAGCGTTACTTGTTTCTGTAAGAAAAAGTTCTCATCGATTCTCCAAACTAAATCTTCTATTATGGGACAAAGTTAATGTAACTCATTCTTAAAAGGAATTTAGCGCAAATATACCCCATTTGGACTTTCATAAACTCAATTTTGGAAAAAAGAAATTCCATCCCTGCAGACAGCAAACAAAAAACTAGTTGGAAGAACGATTACATTGTGGTCGCAAAGTCACCTAATTTCAACACAGACAAGATGCATATTTTTAACCCAATAGTATAAGTGCAACATACGAAGTCGGAGAAATTGTCTTTTCTTTACCTTTTGATCCGTTGTCGGAGTTGGACTCAAGTAAAGGTTGTAAGAGAGGGTGGATTGACTCTATTTCTTGCAACTGAATGATGTAGAGACCATCGCCTTGATCAAGACTATCAACAACTTTGAATTGAGTAGCTGCGTGAAGTAGTATTTCATTTTCTGATGGAAAATAAGAATGCTTTTGAATGTCTTTGCCCGAACTGCATTTAATAGCGAACATTGTCCTCTTGCCTTCTTTACCCAAGAAAAGCTCTTCGTTCAAAACACCAATCGAGGTTGTAGAGGAAGAAAATGCCCACCAAACGATAGTACTATCCTTCCGATATTCGTTGCGAAGATCCGATTTGATTCCGCGAAACACTGTTCCACGTTCTGATGGAAGTTGTTGCAAGGCAGTCAATAAAAGTTTTAGATACGATAACCATGGCATAAGTTTCTCTCTATCTTCGGACCGGAGTGTGGCATTTAAAGCGATATATAAACATTGATCTTCAGGTGTCCAACCCATCGAATAGAGCATAATTGAAGCTGATTCATCGAGCGTTAATCCATCAGCTGGTGGGTTTTTACATAGCGATTTAGCGGCAGCTACATAGCTTTGAATGGCAGGCAAGAGAGGAACAAGTGGCTCCGCAGCAGCTTCAAGTGATACGATTGGCATATCTTTATAGGCAACAATTGGTGTATGTATTTCGCGTGGTTCTTGAGTTATGTCCGCAATACGATGAATGCGTACAGCAGTTCCTCTTTTCCCACTTGTGGCCATGATGGATGATCAGAGATTTTAATGATAATCTAACAAAGGCTTCTACAAGAAATAAAGAAAGAACTAAGAATCGGGACAATGTGTCTAATGATTCATACAGTTCTGTTCATCTTCATTCGTTTCTTCGTAATTACAACCAAGGAAAGTCGTCTATTTGGCGCATTTTCTCTTAGACCTTGTCTATTCTCTGTAATGGACTTTAAAACACTGTGCAGACGTCTCGTGTAAGAGAGGAAACAGCCCAAATTCACTGAAAAATAAATCATATCTCTGTCCGTCAATCAAACAGGAGTAGAGCGCTTACTAGTTCATTCCAACCTGTGTCTCACCGGAAGAGTAGATTCGACACTGGATTGCTCCGAAAACGGGTGTGAGTAACTTACGGGAACACCACGAACAGTCAGCTTTGTTAGATGAGGGTGATGATTTCATATCTCTCGATGGTTTTGGTAAAGTGTTTCATGCTGCAACATCTCAGTGGAATAACTAACCAAATATCATTCACAGATTGGCTGAGCAATGCAATGGGAAGTAGACGGTTTTCATATATGTTTTCCCTAGTCTTGGTAAACATTCTTAGAATGCACCTTAAATGGATCAGTTCAAGCGGAATTCGAAGGGCTGCTTAAGACGAATCTTTTGGTGTATACACGCATATCCTTGAGGAGATATGATTGAAATGAGGAATGTTGCGAATAGTATGAAAAACCGGTTATTTATGCCAAAATGCTATTCGTGAGATTCTGTGGATGTTCGTAAGAGCAACTCTGGCTCCACCTGACGAAGCTGGCTGTTCGTGGTGTTCCCGTCAAATAATAATACTCAAACATACCATCGATGAAACCCATCCGATTGCTTCACTCTTCGATAGTTTCTTGCTCATGTAGAAAAACGAAACGACTGCCTTCTGCCGAATAGATCTGTCACGTATTGAAATCGCGAATCGGCATGTCTCTCCAGTTCTAGGAACCAAGACTTGGCGAATTGATGCTCAAACCTCAGACTTTGATTGGGAAAGTCTTAATTTCTCTGGTATGTTGGCCTCATAAAACTGAAATTATAGTTATTACATCGTCGTGATTCTCGGTAAAACGTAAACATTATAAAGTGCATCCTATTGGATATATTTTTCGACAAGTCCATTTTACGTGGAAAAGTTACTTCAGTTAAGACTATCGAATACACTCACGAGCTGAATGATATTGAATTGATTGATTCTTACTCTGTATACTTGTCATCTATTTTGGTTTGTATTTATCCTTGACAAAACTGCCGGGTTTTTTCTACCAACATATATTTACATGAATCAATCAACCATAACATAATTATTAGGTAGGTGGTCAGTTTTGTATAAAAAACGTGCTATTGCGTATTGCTACAATAAGAAAAAACAGGTTAAGAGACGTTCCACAAGAGCATTGAGGAATCGAAGCATGCGTGAATTCTTGATTTTTTCATCTTGTTCACCATCGGCGACAGCCACCAAAGCCAAATTTTTGGCCCAATCGGACAAGTTCTTGAGAAATTAGACCGAGTTTACTGGGAACCACTATCAAAAATCGCAGAAAACTCGATCATTCATATTCACCATTGATTTCTCCGTCAGAAGTTAACGAAGAATTTACTTGAAATATACCAAAAGATAGGACGGTAAATGAATGTGGAAAGTAATATATGTAGTTCGTCACCGAATACTGTCCTCCGATGATCATTTTCTACTAGCAATTTTGCCAGTATTTCGGCTATAGAACAATTATCTCATGTTCCACCAAGCTGGATTTTGGATACGTGATGAAGTCATGATGGGAGTCGTGTGAGAAAAAATCTGCAAGAAGAAGGGTCTTCCACTGGGTGATTGAATCGATAAATCGAAAACAGATCGACCTATTTTGAGTTCGAATACAAATTAATCTGCTACTCTCAATTCTCGCTTCTTCGGCAACCGATCTAGTCTTTTTTCTTTCAAATCTGAACGTTATCGTTTCTCTATCCACATTCGGATGCATGACACTTTCATGACATCTAAGTAGACACCAATCGGATACTAGCAACGGTAAACTAGGGATTAAACACTGTATGAGGAAATCTTTTCCCGTAAGAGTATGGCCGATTTTTGAGTGATGAAGGTGAAAAGGAAAGGTTTTTCGATTTTGATTTATTCTGTGAGCAGACGTATCAAAAAGTTCCAAGAACAGATCCAAAACTATCGCAATGAATACGATCGACAGCAGAAGGCCAAGTAGCACTCGATTCTCTCGGGGGGAAATTCTTCTTCACGTCGATCTCTCTCGGGGGGAAATTCTTCTTCACGTCGATCTCTCTCGTAGAGAAGGACTGATGAAGATGAAGGCCGTGTTCCAAGAGAATCCGAAGTTCAGCGATGAGCACGACGTCACTGAACAGATTGCCACGATCGACGAACATCTGGAACAATTGATAACTGAGATTCGTCAGTACGAGTCATATACTCGACGATGCATCGCTGACCATCTCACTCTCTCTCTTCTAGTTCGCATCGATCATCGTCAAGTCCCGATGCATTGGAGCAAATGACCGTTGATCAACGGTGTCTGGTGGAGAGGGGGAAATTTCACAGTAATTCCATCAGTTAGTCGATGAGTCATCGAGGTGTTCTGTTGCGCTGAAAACGTTCGGGTGTGTAGAAAAAAAAAAAATCATCATGACCTTGTTGCAGACTCGTATATGAAGATGACCATCGTTAGCAGAGTAGTCCGATACCAGTCTATGACTCAGATATCTTATCTCAGTTGAGTATCATCGCTACTAGTTACAAAAAGTGAAATAGTGAAATTTAAATTTAGGAAAAAGTAATTAGTGGGAGGTTTCTGGAGATTCATCTAGAAAACCTCGATCACGTGGTTTTTTAAATCTTGTCGAGCCCCTACGTTTGTTCAGTTTTGAATTTTCTATCTGATGGTGTTTGAAAAAAGTCTATATTACTTACTTGAGTTGAGTTATTTTGAATCTAAAAAAGATAAATTTTCATACTTTAAAACTAAATTTAAAAATTCAAAGTTTGGATTCGAGGTCCAGTTTTTATTCGAAATGTTCGCCGTTTGACGCTAAATCTGAATATCTTATTGAAAACTCTTTTTAGTCGCTCCGTTTTTTCAAAAACTGATGTTAGTAGGTGCGAGTAGCTTAAAAACTACGGTTTTCTAGAAACCCTAATTCCTAGGTTTTCGGATAAAACTTTCTAGAGACAAAAGAAAAATTATAGTTTGAAGCCTCTAAACACTAAAACAGGTTAGACCACTAGTACAGAAGATAGTTTTCTCATCTAACACGCCAGTTGTCTAACGTTCTGCCAGAAACAAAAAGCGCAGACGAAACTCAAATCGACTGAATCATTTCATCGAGTTAAATATATTTATTGTAAAAATCCATTTGAAGAGATTTGGAATATGAAAGACATTTAAATACATTTCTAAAATAAGTAAGATAAACTTATCTTACTTATGACATCCCCTCGAATATGTTGATGAAAATGGCGTACAAAAAGTTATTGATTGTTATTTTAAAGGGGGAGAAAACTAAGGTAAATCAAAAGGTTTAGTTGAACTATGTAAAGATTTGGGTGTACAATTACTAGCTAAAATTAAATCAGACGACATTCGTGATATACTTTCAACGCATCGAGCTTTCCAAAATGCTACAAAACTTGAGATGCTAGGAATTAAATATAAAATTAAGATTATATACTGTCCTAAGTATCATTGCGAACTGAATGCAATCGAAGGTCTTTGGTGCAATCAAAAGGCATTTCTTCGCTCACGTACAGATCAAAGCTTCGATAAAATGATAAAATTAATAGCGGAATTACGTATAAACTTTGTTGAACGAAAAATTGCATTGAAATTATTTCGACGTTTCTGGCGCGCAATCGAAGCATATTCTCAAGGTCAAACATATGCTGATGTATTAAACCAGTTTTTCAGTCAACTCTGCAAAACAACAATTCAATCTCATCGCAAAATAACAAATACAAACATAGACGAAGACTAATGGAAATATTTTTCCTATTCGAACACTTTTATTCTGCATGTATGCGTTTCTATTATATAGCCAAGCATGAAAATTAATCAGTTTCTGCATTAAAAATGATTAAACCCTGATTAGAACAAAAAACTATGGTTTTTAGAGAAAAGTTTTCCAGAGACCCCTTGAAGGCCCTCTAGAGATCTCAAAAGTATACCCATTAGATTCATCATCAGTTTTTGCCTATGTAAACAAATTTTCACTTTATTTGAATAAAAAATAAGCATTTTATTGAAAAATGACCTTCCCCTTTTTCTGTGATACCAGTAAAAACGAATTTTTTCAACAAAGGAAAGAAAAGGAAGAAAAAGAATGCGGAGTTTTGTAGCTGATGGTATGTTGAATTGAATGGGATAAAACATTTGACTTCATCGCTTATATAAAAAAACTTGATACGTTTACAAAAACGACTTATGCGCATTGCACTCGGTGTGATTTGGAGTGCCACTGTGAAAAGATGTCGGGGTCTTAAGCCG